TAAATGCGGTCTTTTCTTAGCATCTGCCAATATACAGTGCAGATTTTCCATGGACATTTTAAAATCCATTTTCATTTCTGCACTATATCTAAGCACTTCGAAGCGTGGACAGTCAAGTAGTATATGCCATACATTTTCGCTGATGTTAGGGTCGCATTCGCAACTGGGACTGCTTTTTAGTTTAAACCGATGCAAATACTCCCCCATACCCCCATGTCCCGTCAAGATCTGGACGTGATAATATGACGGTTTCATACTTCTTACCGCTTTGTACGCATCACGTACACTAGGGAAGAAGATTTTTGTCACCGCTCCCGTCTCGGAAGTATTATAGCGGTCTTGCCATAGGCGGACCGTTTCCTCCCTGATCTTATTCTTGACGTACGACAATGGAACCATCGCGTACTCTGCAGGCCTTGATGTAGATAGGGCGGCCGTTTTCGCAAGCTCATCGGCTCTTTCGTTTCCGGCTGTCCCTATATGCGCTCGCAGCCAGTACAGCTTGATCTGTTTACCCGCCTCTTTGGCTATTCCAATCTCTTCCATGATCGCCCTCGCCAGCGGATGGCAGGTCCTCGGATTTGCCAATAGTTCCAGCGACGATTTTGAGTCGCTAAGGATATTAACCACCGGCCCTCCGTATTTTCTGGCCATGCCCACCGCCCTCAAGAGAGCAAACATTTCCGATTGAAACACTGTACACGCGGGATCCAGACTAAACATAGAGTATCTGATTTCCTTCCCCTCCTCCCACCATGTTACAGCAGCTCCGACTTTATCGTCTATTTTACTACCGTCCGTATAGATGTGGGGACCTACTAGAGGGTTTTTAGTGTCCAGACTCTCCAAGAGCACGTATTCCGTGGATATTAACGACGACGGATGTGGGAGACTCATTATTCCTATTTTGGTTTCGAGCATCTTATCTGGTGGTAAATAGTCCTTAGACAAGCCTTTTTTCGCTTTATACAGGCTGGCTACCTCTTCAATACGCAAATCCAGAGGGAGCATCCCTGCCAAGGCCAGTGCTGAGGTGAGCGATACCGTTCTGTACGCTTTACACACTTTTTGTGCGAACCCCCTTTGCATCGACTCCAACATCTTGACGTTAGTTTGGAGATCGTATATATTGTATTAATGTTTTTTATGCGCTAAATAAATATATACATCTTTCTTTTCTATATACAACGGTCTATATGATGCTGATGGTACTACGTAGTATTATTAAATTACCTGTTAGGAAGTTCATATACAATGAGGGGTAGATTTCATACAACGAACAATGCGATGAAATCGATTTGCGCCGGCCGTCTCTTTGTTGTCCGTTACATTGACGTGATAAGGATTCTGTTTGTTTATACCTTTATATCATTATACCATTTATACGAGATATTCACACATTCAAAATTATAATATTAATAATATTATATCATGGAAAATAACCTAACTCACCAAATATATTATTCTGAATATGTTTAATTAGTATCTAGAAGGAGATAAAAACTATCACTCGTAAAAATATCCTTTAATTATTGTTCCTCACGGATCATGTTAACAAACTTTGAAGGGCTAGCATAATAGATCTACGCAAGTCGCAGTGTTACAGTCTTAGACAATAGCCCAGAAAGCCCAATAAAAAAGAATTTGGTAATACCTATATTTTAAATTGTAAAATCTATATACCCTATCATTAGTTGTAACACTTATGTATGTACATACAAATAGTTTTTATTATTAACAAGAGATGGGATAGCCGTCCCTAATAAATATGTTACAGATATATTCTCTTCTTTAAATTCTAAAATTGATTGAAATAACCTACTATAAAAATCGATCAATAAAATTTCTTAATTTCCATTGCAAAAACGCATTTGATCAAATATCATGAAGAAGAATACAACTAGTTTATTTCACAGCACAGCATACAAAGTATGTGAGCCTTATCCGTTTAAGTTTATTCTGACATATATGAAACATGGATATTTTATTTTACTAACACAATATAGTTTTGTTTAATATCAACACAAAACAAATGTAATTCACAATAACATTATTTTGTAACAATTTTAGTCTAACACGTTTAATAAGTACCCAAGTACAAATATCAGTAGGTATTGTTATGAACGACTAAGATTTTACATAATTATTTAATTTAATACAGACATTATTTTGTTAAAATTCATTTCACTGATTATAACCGTTTGAATAGCTTATTATACATATAATATAGCCTAATTTTTAAATATATATATTATATAATATTATATATATATATATATATATGTTAAAATTAATTAAAATCCTTTTACTCGTAACAAGGTAACAAACATTATCGTATTAGTAATATTGTTATAGTAGATATATATTAAAATATTAAATCCAATCAATACGTTACATATGTAAATTTGCTTAAGTATTGTAAGGTTACCAAAATTCAAATGAAACCCCCAAAAAGCCTATTGTGACTAAACAAACACCATTATATCCATCATTATTATTCACAGCCTGATCTGATATTGAGTGCGTCCTTTTCTACTGGATTACTTTTTGACCTCGAAGGTTATGAGTTCGAATCTAGCCGACACCAAAAACTTTGGGTGTATTTTATAATATTTTTGTCTTTCTCTTCAGTGACGGCAACACCGATAACAAACATAATGAAGCATTGAGACAGCCGTGTCTGTATTATCTGTCAGCTAGATTTCGAAATAAACTCTACCTAAATATGAGTATAATATGTATACTGAAAACATAAAGTCGCATATTGTTAATCCTCATAAGGATTATACACCCATACAGCTAAACCCATATAGGATTACAGTCGTGAAGTTATATTTGTATATTTTTCAATTTTATAATTCACAAAAGTTGCTGTGTTCTTATTTTGTTTTATAAAAACATCCGACCATAAATATTTAATATGCCGGGTTGGTTAAAATGAATTAAATATTTCCGTCTAAAAACAATCCCTTTTGTTCGGAATTTACTAACTGACATTCTGAAAAGCTCTCACGTAAAGTGTCTTATGAACAGAATGGACGTCCGTTAAATTAAGGCGATTTTCCATAAACTTTTAATGGAGTAAATTCTAAAATGAAACAGCTCGTTATATGCCATATGTCAAGCGACGCGACCTTTTACAATAAGTCTGCACGTGTCACTTAAGCTGATGCTGCAACGCGAAAATTTTATGCACAATTTTAAATGGAGAGTTATTTCAGTTGTTAGTTACTCAACTTTTATTCAGTCAGAATAATATGTGTATTGTTTATAACCAGCTGAGCGTAAATTCATTTCACGTGGCATTCGGGAGTTCAGAACTTTTTTGTTTGTAAACGGATTGAAATGTAACAAACAGTAAATGTTACGGAAAGCTCGCTAGAGTACACCAGTAAAGCTATGAAATCAGTGGACCCGTACAGATTAACAATTCTCAAAAAAAAATTATCCTCGGTGCCCATATGTACTGTACATTTTTTGGACTGAAAATATTTAGTGCATTGAAACAGCTCTTTAAGAATTTAATTAAAACATATATATACATATATTTATTGACTATGTATCATTATTATATGTATGACATATATATGACATGTATATAATAGTGATGCAAAGTCAACTTCTTTTTAGTATTAATAGTAACCTAACTACTTCTGATTGGAGCTTTTGAGTTAACCTACTATTACCATGTGGGCCAGGCGATTTTAATGTTGTTTCTATTTCGAGTTACCCTTGGACAGTCGTATTTGTGCTCTAATCCGCTAGTCGTTTTTTACGACATCCTGGGGAAAAAGAGAGATTAAGGATTTAGATTAAAACGTTATTCGTATGCTTGATAGGAAACTTCTATTTGGTGATAATAGTAGATGAAATCTCCTTCATTCGTGAATAATTTGGTCCCCAATTACCATGTTGACTAGGCGATTTTAATATTATATCATTTCGCGGATCTTTAAACGACCGATAACCACCTACATATTCTACGTCCACGCGGGCGAAGCCGCGGGCGGATAGCTAGTTTATGATATTATTGCTCTAATCCGAAAATTGTTTTGAATTTTAGGTAAAAAAGGGAGATTGATGGTTTAAAATGAAAAGTTATTTCCGTTTCAACGTAAGCTGTGTTTAGCTGTAGTATTGGGTAAGAAACTCTATTTTGTCTAATAATCGACTAAATCCTTCTCATTAAAGGACAATTTAGCCTACTATACCAAGATGGCTAGGAAGATTCTATGATATTGTCTATTTCGAGTTTCCCTTCTACCGATGTACGTGTAGTCCAAGATCAACGAGTTTCTTTGTTGTTGTGTAAAAGAGACATTGAGATATTATATCCATATTAATATTGGCCAATTATATCCTACTCATATTTTATACCTATCATCTTTTACACAGTCCATCCATTTTTTCAGTCGTCTTTACCTTTACATCCCTCCGCGTTTCTATAAAATACTTTGAAACATGGTCTTCGTATATCTATAAATATACATCAATTCGATAATTGAAATTGAATTTGAATTTAATTTCGTCGGGTGGTCACTTACATATTGGGAGGGGAAATATATAACATTAAGCTGCCATTACACGTGTAAGTATGTATTACTCATGTATAAAAAATATGTACTTTATTAATCTATCAATAAAACTATAAAGCGAAGTCGAAGTCACTGTATTCGTCTGTCTGACTCTCCGCACGAAAATTTTAATGGGTTTTGGATTCATTATAATTTTGAGAAATTGTTGCCGAACTTTGTTTATATGTATAATATATGAATAACTCTAGAATTTTTAACACAATCCCATCTAAGCCAGAGCATGTGTCTAAAATACATACATTAATATACATAGAAAACGCCTATTTAAAAACAAATATTACCGTGCGAGGAATCTAAACCGCGACCATCTAGCGGTGTTCTAAACCGCAAGACCACCTAGGCCATCGTATGTATACGCTAGTTATTATTTATATGTATATTTCTAAGGCATGGTTATATCTGCAGATGTCTGCTTCCAACCGTTCTTCAACTTCGTGGATATGCGGGCCCTGCTGGAGAACTTCTGCGTTTACCACGTGAACGCACCGGGTCAAGAAGAGGGAGCCCCGAGTCTGCCCGAAGAGTGAGTATTATTTTCCTTTATGTTACGAATAAATGAGACAGTAGTACGCGCATGCCGAAAATATACCTTGGTAAATGTAACGTCAAATTACAGTTCAATTAACTTAGTAAAATTTATTTCATAGTAATAATTATTTATCCAATAATAGATATTATACAAACGCTTAATCTTAATTACCTATAATCTTATTTAGAAGAACATTAATTCTATAATTTTCTATAATTCACCTATGTCGGTATACAACTGTTTAAACAAGTATTGATTCAAATTCAATAATAGAACACTAATTTACAAAATGGTCGTGAAAAAGGTTTATTATGCACTTTGTTGTGTGCAGTATGCTATAAGTAATTCACTTCTCTCAATCGCTAGTGAAACATGACGTACTTGGCCTAATCAAATCGAAACCGTCTAGTCTCTAGGAAAAGTCTAGTGGACAGAATATCTTCATATCTTTTAACGTAAAAGTGGATGTTGGATGAGTCATAGTAGATTGAGCTACCTGTACCATTGTAACTGCCGACAGTGTCCTCTAAATGTTTTTAGTTTTGTAATTCCAACAGTACACTCAGTCCCAAATACTAATCTTTTGAGTCTTTGAGCTCTAATAGCAAATGCGCTCAGTCAAATACATAGTCGTATTACAGAGATAACGAAATTTAAATTGGATGATTTTGATTCAAGAACCAGCTGAGCGAACTAAGTCGAAATGTTAAGATCTCAGTTTTCTCTCGGCTTGTTTTAGTCTGCTTGCTTGGTTCACAATGAAGGAAGTATAGTTATGCCTAATAATATAGCAAATATATACTCTACTGGATTTGATTTTGTACAAATTCGTCTGCATTGCTAGCTCTATCTTATTCATTTCTGTCCAGTGGTTTGCCTTATAAGAAGTGTTTGTTTGGAAAGGTGGGGCACTAAAATTTCAGGGTAATGAAGCATGATATCTTAGTCCTCCAAAATGCGAACGCATGTGCCACATGATAACGTGATATAGATCGTGCGTTTCATACATATATACGCGACGGTTATCACTTACCATCAACTGGATTGCCATTTAAATTACATAAAAACTAAAGCATACGTATATACCGGGTTGGATTATAGAAAAGAACAATCCCCTGCTGATTACCTATCAATGTTATTTCTTTTCCATCTGGAATAATAAGGAATATACGTATTGGTAGGGGGTAGTATTATTGGATATAACGCCGACATTTGCCCCACCCTGTGTAAGCAATGTATAAAACAGTAATACTTATTAATTCTATGGGTTTGAATATTCAATATGCAATTGCGTTGAGGTACAATATGTAAATGTTAATGTACGGAGATGTTACCGTAGTGCTATTTGTTATACATAATAATGACTTGTGTTTGTCACCTAACTCCGTTCAAACTTCCGGACTAAATTGAATGAAAATTTGCGTATATATTGCAATGGCTTTCTAGATGATTAGATGACAGTTGAACCCAGTAGGTGGTGCATCTTTCCTGGACAAAATGACAACTGCCGAATCCGATAATATGTGAAATTGCAATATAATATAAATCACTTTCCAACAATACCTACTTCAAGGATTTATAGAATGTTTAGGGATAAATCCTTTTAGACTTGAATAATACGGGCGCGAAATACAACCTTAAAAGATTTGAAAACTGTGAGCTATTCCTTTTTATACATTGAAACTTATTATCATACTATGAAAAAGACATAAAATGATAATGAGTTTCCAAAACAGGCAAAAATAAATCATTCTAGCGATTAGGCGGTGAAGTAGTAAGGTCTGCGAGATGCCTTTAGAGAAAAGTATGAAAGCATAATGAATGTAAAAAAATCAGATTAAAAAAAAAAAATTCATTTCATATCTGTTACAAACGAGACTAAAAATATAAATTATGAAAACCAATACTTCGGTATTGTTGGAAAGTTCTATGATCTCGATATAAATTTCTACAAAAGGAGTATTTTCCTGCGCTTTTCAATACCTAGTACTGAACAGTACGATGAATAGGAAGTTTCATTCGTATTTATCGACAACTACCAACAAACGACGTTAAAATTTATCTTCGCTGTGTAAAATGACCTATATAAACTTGAAAGTAGGTCTCGTCTCTCTTTAGTGTTCGGTTTTGCTTTAAACTTAGTTTAATTGAATATAGAAATCTTTTCACAATTCATAATACTTATTATTGCGTGACTTTGTACACATGTTTACAAAAAATGGGCATACTGTGATGTGAAACTTGGTACAGTTAAAGTTTATCTGTAGAAAGAATGCAGATAGCCAATATATTTTTAATGATGCATTAAATTAATAATAATGCCACACACACTACCATGCATTTGGCGCACACACATAATACTTATTAGTAACGTTCAAACTTAAAAGTTAAATTAATTATAGTCAAATATTGCACGACGACTAATAGAACTAAATACGTCAAGGTATTAACGACTCAGACTTGAATCTTTATAGATTGTTTTATTTCTTGTTGGACATTGTAGTCATATCACATATCGTCAAAACTTTAATCCCGATCTTTCATCCATATTTCAATATTGACTCGAATGACAGTTCAAGTTTCCGCTATAACATTTCAATGGTCACCCTCGACGTTTATTATGACAAAATAAAAAAGAATCTTCAAATTGGAATTACCCTGTAAAAAGTTACGCGTGGTAATTCATAAAAATATAATATACACGTTGATTTTATAACCGGCTCCTCTTTTTCATCGGTTTTGGTAATTGAGAACGACATTAGCCCATTACAATAAAAAAAATTAAAAGGATATGTATGTATTAATTTTATTTTATGTAAGAGATATACGAACGAAATAGATTTACGTTGATTAAAGGTAAGGAAAACTAAATAAAACCATATACGAAACTAGAGTACACTAATGAAGATACCCATGCCTCCTCTCCCCCCCCCCCCCCTCGCCCTCTGTAGCGAGTATATAATTTTGGTTTTGATGACAATTTCCGTTTATTATTCCGTATCCTTATTTCCGTTCATAAATCCGCTCTAACATTTCATAAAGCCATATCCCAGCGGTTTGTTTGTGTAACTGTCACTCTGATATTTGAGCGAATATTCCAATATTTATTTTATTGCATCCCAATATATGAACAATTGCAATGTAATCGCATCTCTTGAACCTTGGTAGTGGTATAGAGGAACTTCAATATTTTAATATTTATTCAAATATGTATTATATCACGCTACCTTTGCCATCAAAGTGTCAACCTCCGTAAACATTTTACATGCAGAGCACAAATATCCAACATTTCACCACTGAATTTTTCAACATACCTAGAAATTTGTTTTGTTAGTAAAGCTTTCATATGGTATTAATTCCGGGTGACTACGCTTAGCTTATCCGTAGTCTTTAAGCGTATCTCTCATACAACTTTCATACTTTGTTGAACATTGTAGTGCGTGTAAGGGTGACCTTATTTAGATTTCCATTAAATCAGGTTCTTTAATCTATCATATTATGACATATACTACACACATTTGTTCTGAAAATGGACACTAAATTTACCTCTGTAACAAATATAGTTATTAAATTAAATGATAACAACTTTTTGCTTGTCTTGTGCCTCACTTTCATGCCTTTATATATAAAGCCTTATAGAGTAAAGCACCCTATTAGTTGCGCATATCTATAGAAGATGCGACGGTTAGAATTACCTATCAAGTCTATGAATTTTTGCCATTCGGTAGTATAAAAAATTGTTATAAAACCAGTCGCTGAAATCAATTTAACTTTCCATCGATCTGAAAATAGAAAAGCTATGGAGAACGTAATATTCCTGCTACAAAACTCGTTTCGTGCTGGCCAAAACACAATATATACAAAAAAAATATTCCCTGTACGCTCGATGAGTTTGTCGCCAGAATCATATTATGCTCCACCTCGTGGATGACGGATTACAGAGACAAGATTAAAGTACTTTATAAGGTACTTATATAATTATTATTTATATACTACTAGTTCAGGACGCGACACCTGTACTTTTATTGGTGCTATCTATATATGATAATCAAATGACAGTAATAAAACATATGACGTTATATCATTTTATTATATTTAATATATAACCAAATTTATGAAATAATGATCTGCGTATTCGAAATAGTCACAAAAAATATTATTTCACCTGTTATGTGGCATATTTTTATAAGGTTATTTGTCGATCGCATTCTAAAATTATTTATAAAATTTTCATCCAAGTACATTTTTCGCTTCAGCGTGGTTTTATATATAGCAAAGAAACGTACATTGAAATGCGGATAGTAGAAGCTAAAATATTCTTAGAGGTTTATAGGGTTGTCCTATAAAGTTCACAAGAATACTCTAGCTCCTAGACCTAATAATGGCTTACGATCCGATAAGCATAGACCTAATCTACCTGTTCCATATCGTCCAACCTAGGTAGGAATTTATTACTAATACAATTATAATAAAATGACTAGAAAAGGAAATGCAAGTATTAGATATTATTTATTCACAAATATAAAATTTTGAATTACAAAGTTAAAAATAGGTATTTGTGATCAGCGCTAGAATCAAACTTTGTTGACTTATAATTCACATTGTCTGTTATTTTAATATCCTGAATTTTTAATACTTATTTAATATTATAAAGCTAAAGAATTACTTTGTTTATTTGGTTGAACGCGCTCAACTCGTTTTGGGTTGGATAACCCATTAATCAAGGAAGATATATATAACATTATACTGCCATTATAACATTGTATGAATCATTTATATTATATATGATTCATACAAAGTTGTACGGATCAACTAGATTTTTATATATGTGAATTTTCCAATATGTATCCCCAAAAATAATTTCGATTATTCTCTTAATGTTTATGTAAGACCGTTTTTAAACAACAATAGGACTGAGAACTGTGCTCACGGTGCGTATATATACTTTTGGCAGGTTCTGAAACTCGTAAACACATTAAATCTATCGTGAACCT